TATTGAAAGAGAAATTGATAGAATTACGTGAAAAGTCCTGTCAAGAAGCACTTAAGTGGGCAAGAATCAATGTGAAACATGGGGATTGACCACTGAAAGAAAAATACGTCGTAAACGAATGCCATGTGAAAATGTAGCTGATGCTGGATTGACTGCTGAACGGGAAATTTATCGCATCATGAAGGGTGTTATTGATTACTGAAATAACAGGAAGACTTTCTCGCTTACTAGATTTAGATTCACGGTTTGGATTTCTACTAGATGTGCAAAATATTGTTTCTGGAGATTTCGAAGACAGAAAATTGCAAGAAAAATGTTCTGACTTAGCAAAGAGCTATCCAGGTGATATTGACGGACCAGAATTGTACAGAGAAATTAAAGACTGTAAAATGTTGATAAGAAAAAGAACACAGACCGATTTTCCTGAATCAATGGTTGCAATTGATTTGCTAACATTTATAATTTCATATGGTGAAGATGTTTTCCCAAATTTAAGAATTGCATTGCAGATTTTGTTAACAATTGGGGTTTCTATTGCTAGTTGTGAAAGGTCCTTCAGCAAGCTGAAATTAATTCTTACATACTTGAGAACCTCAACGACTCAAGAACGACTTAGTAACTTGGCAATATTAGGTATTGAAAAAGACGTACTTAATACCTTAAATTTTGATAGTTTAATTGATGCATTTGCAGCAGCAAAAGCACGAAAGGTTCATATAATATAGCCATGAATACTAGAATGCTACCCGTACAAGATCTAGTTAAGTATATGTACAGTTTTGTAAACTAATAAAACTTGTTATTTGTAAACTTATGTAGTATTTTATCAATCTGTTTTATAATCCATGTACACCACAAGTGACTGGCTTCTCATATAAAACAGAAGTTTCAAAACTATGGATATATAACAGAAATTTATTCTGCACGCTTGAAATATTAATCTAGCTATGTGACTTTGAACAATACTGGATGACATAAATATCAAAATGGTTTACAAATTATGTAAGTACACCTAGTAGGCTATACTTCATTAGTTCCAGGTTTACAGTTGTGATATCGTGAGATGTTATATTGTGACTTTATTTTAGGCCTGTGTAAGGCGGTAAATAATTCTTTATGTTATTGTCATTAAGTGAGTAATGAGTCACAAAACAAATAATCAAAACATTTCAGAGGTGGGGGCGCCAAAAGCGTCTTTGCCCCAGGGTGCTGAGAACCCTTGCTACATAGTCGTCTAAACCAGTGGTTCTTAACCTTTTCCT